GGCAAGTCATTCATTGCGTTCCAGAAAAGAACTCTTTATTTGTGCATCTATGTATGCAGCTACAAAAGAGAACTTGTAACATTAAATTTTTACATTATAATACTAAACTGTTATTGTACATAAAGTTATTCAAATATATTTACATGATTGACTTGTCTTGAAATAACATAAAAATTCAAGCTATCAACTGTATGTATTATACAAGAAAGATAACTCTATTTTTCTTTGTTTATCTGGTTATCTCCCTTGAGTCCATTGATCCAATCTGCTTGATGTTCATCTAATTACATATTCATGAAGTAATTTACAGTTTCCTTATACTGACTTAGTGTTAATAGATGTCTGGGCGCATTTTATGGTGCATTATCAAAGCTTATTGAAGGTAGGTTAAATACTAAACTGTGTCTAAACTCAAAGAACAAGTCACGACTCTGCATTATTATCCCTTAGGCTAGTGGATGCCATTTTGTTGTACTCGAAAGTCTATCACTCAGTAGTGAAGTTACAAATACTAATGTTAATGTGTTTTTAACACAAGAATGTTTGACCAACTCAATCCCTGCTGAGACCAAAGGAAAGTGTTTTAGATTTATTTCAACTTGTAATAGAGTGTTTAAGCCTTTAATATATTATAGAGGAAGTATTAGGAAGTGATTTAAGGCCTCTATAATTGATCTTGAACCTGTGATAAATCTGTTCAAGCAAGAATCTATCCATGTCTACAAGAAACCAAATGAGTGACATTCTGAGGAGATAATGTAAGTGAGATTTTTTGTGTTATAACCAAAAACATTCACCAAATTCAAAAACATTAATGGAGGGATGAATTGGTGGTCTTTAAGATGTTTCCTTTGTTATGAATTTGATGTGTTTGTAGTAGGATATCAGAAGCTGAGATAATGAAAAAGGAAGAGGCTACAACAAAGTGGGTCATTGGTTGGTTTGTGCATTTTTGTTGGGCCTTGACTGTGTTAAGCCATTGTATTGTGAATGGCATGCTGTGAGATGTCTATAAATAGGTTGATAGGATATGGTGTAGAATACCCCTAGGGGAGGGATTTAAGGGGGTTTATTCCCACTGTTAATGTAGACTCATATTAACTCATTATTATCTTAAGGAGATTTTTATCTGTTGATCTTTATAGGTAGATCTAATGGCTAAGGAAGAAAGACAAGGCAGACATTTCATTGGGTTTTATTGCTATGTTGTTGGGATTCACAAGGCAATTTGCTTGAAAGAGAAATAAAATGTTTGATATAGGCTGGAGGATAGTTTATGTTGATTTGTGGAATGTTATGTTTATGAAAATAATCATAATATCTGAGGGTGTTACCGATATCAAATTGATTATTTACTTATTTCAGCTAATGGTAGAATTTCTGTCTGGGGATTTTCTTGATGTCATGTACAAATAAGGTTGTGGTTTATGATGCACCACCATACCGTACATGAGAGAACGATTGTTTAAACTTTTGCTTGGATTAATGATTGTTTTCAAATACAAAATCAGCCCTACAAATGTAAAATTCGTGGTCTCCCATTTATTTGCAAAGACGATCTACACAATGTGTTTTCAATATTCATATAAAAATGCTCAGGCTAAAATTATATGTGCTCTTTACCCCATATTGTTCACAGTTGTTGTTTAATGAGTATAAACTGTTAATCCTTAGATTGAATCTGATTAAGATATGTATTAATAGGTCATTTCTCCTGATCAACAGATTATCACCCATGTGATTAGATTCTATTGTACATTCATCATTAGGTTGTTAAACTTTTACTCTAACAAGCTGTAATTATAACAATGTGTAGGTTGTGAATTAGACAGAAGATCCTTACATTTATCTAGACAGTCAAATATACATTCATTTATTTGTTATGCTGGGGGCGGACAAGAAAAGTGTTTTGAATTGTTCAGATGGACCGAAGACAAAGTCTCCATGTACAAATAGGTAGTGCATAAGATTATGTAGAAAACCCCACTGTCCTTTTTGTACTGATACAATCAAAATGAAAATTAACATACATGTATCTTTGTCGGTCTCAAAATTAGGGGTGGGGTTAGGTGTTCAAGTGGTCTAACATGTAGATCTGAAAATACTAGGAATCAAAATTAACTATGTTTTTCTTATTTCTTGGGGGTGGGGGGGTCAAATGAGTGTGGTTTCGATCTATAAGGTCTGTCAATGAGTCAAATGAAAAGCTTGTAAAAGGCGTAAGGTCATTTCTTTTTTCTATGTCTTTTGGTTTTCCCCCATTGCTAAAACTCTGTACATGCAAGCAAAGTATTGAAATAAATCTGTGCAATGTCCTGAAATGACCTATTTTGTGTACAGTGGATGTTATACCCCCTTCTCTGTAGTGTCAAAAAGTAAAGTTTCAACAAGATGTTAAACCCCATTCCATTCATTTATAATATACCTAATAATATATTTTGTACCGATACTCTAATACCTGAACTGCCCAAGGATCTAAATATTACATTTATTTTTACTTATCTTTAGTTGATTTTAATTACTTTTCACCTTCAAATATTGATTCTGCATCAGCTGTTGATCCTCTTTTTTCTGTTCAAAATTAACCGATTCTAGATATTAATAGAAGAGTGATATGCTGATAGGCATTTTATCTACAAGACGTAATGTTTCCAACCTGTGCACATTGTGTATCAATTTATCCCGTATTATATTTAGATTCATGTAAGTGTTTTTTGATCAACATTGGGGGATAGGAATAACCAAATTGTCTTAAGTATCGCGAGATAGATAGAGAATAGGGGTTTAATTTAATATGCACACAAACCAGAGATCCGGATAAAATTGATTAAGGGTAAAGTGCTGCTCTGGTGCTACTGCATATAGGACTGTCCACATAGTACAATGTATTAAGAGAGAATTGGTGGACAGATTCGGTAATTATTGGATACATACATCTGAATGGTATGATATCCTTGTTACCCTTATTATTAAACCTACTGGCATGATGTGATTGATGCATGATTGTTAAGTTAAGGTAATGTAATCTGATACCTCAGTCAGTAATCAGTAAAACCATGAAATCATTAGAAACTGATTAATTAATGCTGTTCACACTTGTTCTGTTTTCATAATACAAAGGTTAACAGTCAAATGCCTGTCTATCATTAAACATAGAATTGTTCATTACTAACAAGAACAGTATGGTAAAGTAAACAAACAATTACTGTTACTTGAAATTATTGGCTTAATGGCAGAGTATCAACAAGGTTTTGCCAAAGATCTTCAATCTGTCACTCTTATGATTATAGTTTTTGAGCCAGCAATTGTTATGGCAAGGTTTAGGATTACCTGCATAATATTGTGAGTTTTCTTCATAAGTTCTACACTTGGCTGTCATTGTTAAAGAACTCTCTACCTAATTTACCATGTTAGTCTCAAAATAACCAATTTGTGTATCAGTGGAAGGAACCCATTTATCTACATGTATGTATCACATTTAATGATACCTTTTATTCAAATGTCTTGTTCTCCTGTACTAGTACTGAGAATCTGAATGAACAATGGCAAAATATCATATAATATTAATGAAACATTGCCATATGATCTACATCCATATTAAAATTTAGTTCTAATGCAGTTAATTGTCTGTACTTACAGATAATATATGTTACACAATATTAATGAAATGAAACAGAGTTTAACATCCTACTGTTCTGCTCCAACTGGGCTGAAGAAGACAGGCATACGCCATACAGTGTGCTATGACTATGAGGGAAATTTTGCTCGGACTATTCTTATATCAAATTCCATCTGCCAGTGTATCTTTTATGTGCACTCCAATGTGTACTCGGGACCTCATTTTTTGTCCCATCCAAATGACTAGACAGCTGTCCTTGTCAGGCCCTCCTTCCTGCACAACTGGCAAGGGGAAACCAAGCCAGAAAATCCTGATGAACTTTCTCGGCGAACATTGGGAGCGAACGCGCGACCTCCAGGCTAGCAAGCCAGCGCCTTACTCACTTCGCCACCGTTGCTCCCCACAATATTGATACCAACAGTATACTGATAATTTTATACAAGTCTAAAATATGCTACAGATGTGCATATTAAAGTAGCTGCATGTACATGTAAATCTGTTACTCAATATGATCCACAGTCTTCGATATTAAAAACACAAATTATATGTCAATTTAAATAAACATTGATGTTGTGGTCTTACCAGGAAAAGATGGGCTTCTGATATATATCCAATATTTAAGACAAAATAAACATTTACCAAAATGCGTTTCAGTGCCATTTGTAACAACGGACTGAAAGAACGTGGCTAGATTTATCCCAAACATCATTTCAAACGGTGACCCATATTCTTATCTGGAGAGCATGTGTAATAAATACTACCGGTGTAGACTGGAATAACCAGACGCTAGAGATTGAATGTAAATCATATTACATTATTATACATGTATGCATTGCAACCTACATGTATTTGTGTCAATTTATAGGTTCCAAATATTAGCGATTTAGCTCCTTTAAGTGAACTAGTTGGATAGTGAATGTTAACTGATGTATGCAGATTACCTACATGTACATCAAGAGTCTAACATTTCAACAGTTATTCTTCACAAATGTAAAATATAATTGCATAATGGAAAAGTAATAAGTTGCTACTGTATTTAAAGGAGAATATTAGCCTTTTCAGATGTGTTTATATTTTATTCATTATCTAATACAATGTACTTTATCTTACAAGTAATAGTTTCAACTATTTTAATACCAGTTGATGAATAAAATATAAAAACGTCACAAAGACTCACTCAGTTCTCTTTAAGTAACTGTCATATGCGATGTACAGTGGGTGCATGTACGTGTATTCATGTTTCATAGAGTGAGAATCTACTTTTCATGAAGTGTTAAACTACCTGGTATTCTATCGTGTGTTTTGGGCAGGTATCGTCAATCACGGTCACATACATAGATTATAATTGATTTATTCAAATTCAATTTTTATTCTGTTTCAGAAACTGGTTGTGATATAGCATTAACTGATCCGTCGATCAAATCTCGAGAATTATTTATTTCCGATGCCTCCGACACATATCCTGTTACCTCATTAAGGTGAGAAAATGAATTGTTCATTAACTTCAGTCTATGTTTATAAAAAAGATTTTGCTAAACATAATTGTTACATAAGTTCCAATAGTTGATTACCAGAGTAAAAGATACAGTTCAAAGTTTTGTATTCAATTTTTCATAAGCTTTGTCCTTCATGTTTGCAATTTCTTTAGGCAAAAGTGAGTCTTGCATTACAAAATTAAGTAAAGATTGAGTGGAGCATAAAAAATGTTCTGTAATCTAATGTCCCTGGCCAGGCATCAGAATGGCCAAAAACAACAAGAAGAGAGTTATGTCCCTCTATTTTTACTTTGTATAACTTATGGAAATAGTCCATGCATGCTTTGTTTGTTGTTCATATTTATTTGTTTTGGACCCAATGTCTTAAAGTCTGTATAATGCTTTTTGCCCTCAACCAAAAAGATACTCAAATTTATACTACTCATTTCATGAGATATAGTAAAAAAACGAAAATAATGATGCTATTTTAAATTACATTGATTACCTTGAGTGTTAGACATGTTTGATTGTAATTGGAGTAAAACCAGAGTTTTGTGGTTCTGGATTGTGTTTCATTAACCACATGTAAGACTTGCACATAAATCAACTACATTACTAAACAAACCTGTGTAACTTTATATACATGTAAGCTTTGTGATACATACCCCTTGAATCTACTTTGGACTCAATTGAGGATCATTGATAAAAGTGTTTGGAAATAAAATGATATTGAAATATTCTGTTTTTCAGGGGGAAATGTAAAGTTATACATTACCAAGATATTTATAAAGCCAGGAATTTTAAAGCGGGTCCTGATACGTATTTCTACGTTTTAAGTTATAGTCCAGAGAGTAAAAGGCTGGCGAATACTCAAGGGGAGATTCGGGTAGGCGGTAGCCATCAGGTAAGAAATCACTCCACAATGTAATATCCTAATCTATGAGAAGTCCTGTCCCTTTCTGAAGATGATACCATAAGTGTATCAATTAAGTATCTTTATTAACATCACAAGTGACTGAAACCAGCAAGAATTTTATTTTTTTGTACCACAGGTGAAGATTCTTCTGCATCAGTTTAGAAATTTCAAAACAAATCAAAATATTTAAAAAAAAAATTCCAGTTTATTTATTCTTTTTAAGAGTACATTAAAGTAATGTTGGTATTATTTTTTCTAGGCCCGCCTACCTGAGTACAAGCCTAATGTCTCGACCAATGATATGCCAGAAAGGTTGGACAAATGGGAGGTTATACGATGGCGACCTCAGTATGTCATGGACGGGGACCTTGTCATGTACCTACGTGCTGCAAGGTAACCTTGACTATAATTCACATTTCATGTTTTGCTATTTATTTTTTTGCAGGATTTGACTGTTCATAAAATTCTGAGACTTATTTTTTTTGACTTAAAACAAGTGTTTTATGCTTTCATGCATGATCTTAAATATATAAAAAGTGATGGATTTATTGGTACATGGATTCAATGTAATTAGCAAACGGACATGAATGCACATTATGTTATGGTATCCCCCTGACACTATGCAAACACTTGGTCAAGGAGCCAATCACTCATAACAGTGGATCAGTTCAGTCAATTAGAAACACATTTAAATAGCCTTGAACGGAAATAACAAGGAATTCTTCCATAGGGAGATATGGCAACAGTATTTTTCTTTAACAATTTCTTTTGCAAAAAAATAAATGGTAATTCCAGAAAAATTGATTACCATTTAAGATGAAACCTAGTGTCATTTCTACTGAAAGTTGTATCAATCTCCCTGTATTGTTATTTCCGGAATCATCCTAACCATTTCTGGCTCTCCATAGCATAGCGTTCTCTATACACACTATAGACATTGCACACATGTAAATATAATTGCTTGATAGTTCTGACAAGACTTACAATCATTTGGATAAAAATATTAACAATTAAATAATTTGTCTGACTGTCAATTTACATGACCAAGAATTTTGTATATTGAGGATTTTAACCTTGAAATATGATAAATGCAGTTAAATTTGTTGCTCTCCTAATTCAAACCATATACATGTATTATAAGCAAATGCTAAAAATATTCAGCCAGTCTGTGGTAAACAAACTATGACAAAAATTGTCCAACTGGCAAATTTGTTTTCTTTTTGCAATTAATAAAATAGCATGTTTGTCTGAAAATGGCCTTGGTAATGTTTTGAAGAGCTACACTCAGTTCAAAATTCTGATTCTCATATGTTTGTTTTAAAGGAGTATTGCAGCATTTGCAGGGCTATGTGATGGAGGATCAACCGAAGATGGTTGCCAAGCAGCCTCCATGGATGAAACAACTTTACAAGCCATGGATGTGGTAAGACTTTTGTAACTTTAAATGACAATATTGGTGCCAGTCATTATCACATATGTGATAGAGCTGGTTAAACACATTCCAAATATAATTTTAACACAGAGATCATTGCTACGATAGCTGAGTAATACAGGTTTCCCAAATCGGAAGTGACGAACGCCAAAGGAAAACACAAGTCATCTCTCTATATAACTGACTGATACACGGCCGAATTTCTGCTCACTAATAATTCCTTCGAAGACCAAAAGTTGTTATATGGGACTGTAAGAGGATACCTGACAATTCAATAAAGTAATTGTATGTCATTAGATAAGAGAACACAAGAAAAATAGAAATAGTCCATACATTCCCTTGTTTATATTCATTCTATACCTTATAAAAACATGGTAATGCACAGACTTTTTATGTTTTTCTTTCGTGTTCACTTATCTAGTGGCAGTCAATTCTTTTTATGAATTGTCAGATATCCTCTCACGGTCTCACACAACAACTTTTGGTCTTCGAGGGAATTATTAGTGAGCAGAAATTCGCCCGTATATCCGTTATCACTCGTCACATCAGTCAGTTATATAGAGAGATGGCTCGTGTTTTCCTTTGGCGTTCGTCACTTCCGATTCAGGAAACCTGTATTACTCAGCTATCGTAGCAATGATCTCTGTGTTAAAATTATATTTGGAATGTGTTTAACCAGCTCTATCACATATGTGATAATGACTGGCACCAATATTGTCCTTTAATAGAGCTTTAGACAATTTGGTGACCTTGAGATACATGTACATCGCTGTTGATTTCAGGCTTTACCATGAAAATGATATACCGGGTATATATTTAATATCAAGACCTGCAATGCAGCCATTATGGGTTTATTGGCATTAATCGGACACTAACTTCATGGAATATGGCCCCTGAATGTACGAAAAATCACATTTTTAGCTTGTGGACCCTTTATAGGTCACAATTGTTATCTGAATATCACCTTTGCACCATAAGGAAGGTTGAGTTTGATTTTTGGGAAAATCAAAATGAAACTGCCTGACAAAATGGCTGCTCCTTGTACGCAAATAGTGTAAAAGTATGTAATACAAAGGTTTTGAACCCCCTTGAGGTCACAATTTTTGTCCGATTTTGTTGAAACTTAAAATATGTTTATATCTTAAAGATCTCAGTTACTTTTGATACTGGCGCATTTCGGACCATTACTTACTGGATTATGGCTCCTGATAGTACGAAAAATAACATTTTCTTTTTTAGCTTGTTCTCTATCCATCTATTGAAAAATGTGGGTGTATCTTGCATGGCAACCACATGTTATTACACTGAAATCATGATGAAGTAATCAGAAGAAAATTCTGAACAATAATAATGGGGTTTTAAAATTTTGCCTCTTATCATCAAATTCTATTCGCAAAAGAAATTGATTAAACTTAACACTTGAAAATTGCCTGGATAATCCGGGTAATGTTTGTTTTTGTCAGACCTATCTTAAGTATAAATCTTGATTTAGTTAATATTCCCATATTTTTATTTTGTAGCTCCATCGTCATGACTACGATACAGGCAAGGCTTTACAAGCTCTAGTGAAATCTCCAGCACTACGAAGTATTGATAAGAAATGGACAGAAGATGATTCGGTAAGCTATTGTCTAATCTCAAGGCTTATGTAAAGGGCGTGCGATAAATACAACCACCACAATGATACCATCAACATTCTAGTAATACAAACCATAGTGTAAATTTGTATTAAATTCCACTTGTATTTTGTGCAGAATGAACTTTTTCATGAACATTTTCAGGAGTGCAGGATTCATGACGCCCTGTTTTAAGCCAGTCAGTTATTGTTTACTCCAATGAAGGATGTAAACTAAGTCTAACCCAAATGAAGAGTTGTTTTGACATAGAAGTGATTGTCCGATATGGTTACTATCGGTTTTACCGATATCAGATGTTGACAGCTAAATATATCGACCGATACAGATACAATTACCGATAGTGGTGGATATAAAACTAGTACACATTAAAGTGTCTCGAATGTCATGATAATCTATGTAGTTACATGTCATAGTTAGTCGGCGAAGGACCTGGTACTATTTAACCAATGCGATGTTTTTTTAAGGGAAAAAAAAAATTGGGGCACACCCCCTCTGCAGACAAAAAATACACACTATTAATTGTGAACTAAAACTATTTGCTGTATGAATAATATATAAAGTTGAGAATATCAGTTATTAAATTCCCAAACTTAGTCGGCACCTGTATCATATCTGTCAGAATGGTTCATGCAATAATGATACAACATCAAAGTGATAGCTTCCAATCTGTCAACAGTGGCAATCACATCATATTCTGCCACCATTCCCCCCCACCCCCTTTTCCATCCTTCATTTCAATCACGCGTATACCAGTACCGTAGCGGGTTAAATAAAACGAAGGAAAAAATGCAGCGAAGTAGTAAGATTTGGAGCTATTTCACATCAGCGACAGTGATCAAAGGAGGACCATTGTTTATTTCATAGTATATAAATTTTAAATGAAAATTCAAAAGCCTAAATAGGTATTATTGTTCAAGTTTGTGATCTTGTTTCTGGTATATAAGTCCACTGCATGATGTCGTACAATATCAGCAGGCATTGAAATGGGATCGAGAGGCCTCTGCGATATTCTATATTTTTGATCATCATCCAGTGGATTTATTCCATATTCTATGATTTATCGGATGGACTTTTGTACGTTTATGTCTGTTTGCAAATGCAGAGAAATAGTATTCTTTCAAAAATGCATCGAGACACCCGAACAATGTGTGAATAAGGATTAAAAAAAAAATAACGTAGACTGGTAAGGATTTTGCACTGTTTATTATTTCCTTTTACGGCCTCCATGAGAGCCTTGTATTGCGTCTAAATAGTCACGAGCACGGCAACTAAAATAATTTTACTGAGTGTCAAGCAAATTAATGATTTAAAAGAAGTATTTATCAGATGGTTTTTTCCAATAAAAGTATGGCAAATGTGGTATATATGGAAAGTATAGACACCCAATCTTACCAGAAAAATACTGGATTACCCAAAAAAACACCCATGGGGCAAGCACTGGACAAAAATTGATTGAGGGAGCGGTTTTTATTTCTTGATCAAATGGTTAGGCAGTTTGGGGAACATTGAGGGGTGTCAACGTACAGAAAATAATTAAGAATTTACTTAGGCCTCAATATTTATAGTAAGTGGACAGTAAGTAATGAAAAATTTACTCTCCCACAATGAAGTAAGATGACAGCCATGGCATCAAAAAACTATTTATTTATAGCTATAGGCATCTCCTGGCGAATGCAAAGATTTGATAGGGATTTGCAGCAAATTTTTAATAGATAATTAGTTTGAATATGTTTTTAGTCCAAATATATCATCATATCACACAGTTTGTATGCGGGGAAAGCATCTTTAATGGTTCACAACTCGAATTGAGTCCTTTTGAACAAATATTGGTGACTTCAGTTTCGGCAAAATGGCAGAGTATCTATCGATACCGATGTTGGAACAGATTATCGGACCATCACTATACTAGTATGATTACAGATCATGTTGAAATAAAACAAATTGTCAATCGCTAAAACATTTTCTTCATTGATTGCCATGTGGGTTGCTATTGGTCGCATAATGGCATCTTGAGTTTATGAAGTTTTTTTGTGGCCCTACAGGTATATGCTTTTTCCCAACTATTGATTATGAATGTTGCAGGTAATAGTGATGAATAATAGACAAAATATAAGATATAAAATGACCCAGACCTGAATCATATGGCAGAATGTCCTTAATAAATTGTACAAGCAAAGACACGTGAACAGTAGAATATCCTGTGTATGTGTTGCTTAGATATTGAAATCTTCATTTTGCTGTTGGATTTAGTTTATTCATGTTTCTTGTTATTTCATCATTTCAGAAACGTTTTGTGAAGGGCTTGAAGCAATATGGGAAGAATTTCTTTAAGATCAGAAAAGAACTTTTACCTAACAAAGAAACGGTGAGTACTTATATTGACTTTCATAGTATAAATATGGAATGCGAGAAATCAAGGAAGCATGCAAAGTAGAAGTCAAGGCCGGTCATGAAGAACCTTGCAGATAACCGTGATCTAGATCTTTCCCATCTTCCCATTGCAGATAGTAGAGAATTCAAATCAATCTCTGCTGAAGTTCATTCTTACATTTCTTGTTTAGTACATCTTTATCAGCTTCAAAACCAGCTCTGAACTGATACTAAGGAATCCAGAATGACAAAAAAGTTTTATATTCAATACAAGTGTACCATTCAGGACTAGCATTTGTTAAGAAGAAGCATCAGACTTGAACAGTGACCGTTGAACGAGCGGTCCTATTTTTAACAAAGCTACGTTGTTTTGTTGGAATTAGTATATGTAGCACCTTAAGTCTTTTGTCAGATGTGGAAAGCGGGCCACCACATCCTACGTATGACCCATGCACTCTCTTCTTACTACATATCTTTGTAGCCTTTTTAATTTCTTCTTTGGCTTCCTTCTTCTTACTACTATCACAGTAGTTAAGACAGTTGTCTTCTCACTAGTTAAGACGTTTGTTTTACCCGGAATAACAATGCAACAGTTCGTTTTTACATTTTATATATCAAGCACTGGTTACATAAGATAAAAGTATAGATTACAATAAAGTCATTTTCTCAATCCCAATCCACCCGAACTCGCTAGGAGTCTGCTGATAGAAATTGCTACATCTTCTCCCTTTGAAATCTAGTGGCTGTCTCACGAAAGCATAGAGATATAGCTTTGGGTTTGGACCTTCAATTATCTAATTGGTCAAATATGAAGTAATTGATATAATGATTGGTTAATTAGCCTAATGACTTCGAAAACCACCATTATATTGACAGTGGAAACTTACGACCAGAAGTGTTACATGTGTTATTTTGTTTTTAAACCAGAATTAAATATTTACCAAATTATAACTCTTTTTATGTGTAAATCTGTTACTCATTATTTGAGTGCATGAGATCTGACTTCTATAATATATGTGAATCCAATAATTAAGTAAAGATACAATATATTGCTATTATTAATTTAAAGAGCAAGAATTCTACCAATAGTCTTACATACATTCTCTCACACTTAGTGTTAAAATATTATACAATGCTTTTGTAATTCAAATTTATATGCTCAGCATGGAGTGTGATAAAAATAAAATAAAATAAGGTCAGAAATTAAAATTAGTACACACACACACACACACACACACACACACACACCTACATCTACTTTTACATTCTAGTTTACCAAAACTAATGCACAATCACTCTTGTTTCATTCTTCCAGATCCTTAAAAGCAAACATATTGGTAAAGTTCCCAACAAAAAAAGTTTTTAAAACAAATTAATTTAAACATCTGCAGACAGCAGGTTGTGTATGAGTCAGTCTATCATCTCACGCCTGTGCCATTAAGTTTTGCAATATAAATCTAATTGAAAACTGGATACCACATATAAAATTATAGTAAAGTTTTTGTTTTATTACTTCAATACACCTTAAACAATGTCAAATAAAATGTTTTTCTTTGTGATCAAAAGTCTCTCAAGATGTATTTGTAAGCTTATGCGAAGATAAAGTTTTTGATCAGGAGTTAGCATACACACACCTTTTTTACTTTATTCTGTAAAACAGCTGCTTTATCTTAGATTACATTAAACATTGTCTATCTAACATTCGAACACCCCAACATATGAAAACTATTATTAAAGATCTTTGTGAAAGGATAATATTTTCACACGACAAGCCAGATAAAACATATCATTTACGATAGATACTTATACACATGATAGTTATAGCTTGATTATGCTTATACTTACATACTTGTTACAGCCAACAAAACATATTTCTTTTCATGCATGTAATATTATATACACATGTTTGAATATTTTGATAACATAAGATAAATAGCAGTAAGACCTTTGATAATATATTTATTAGATGCCTTTACAATGCAGTAGAGAATTTCCATGAAACAAAAGAAAAAAGAAACATTTTCATGCACATAACATTTTATGCAGATGTTTAACTATTTTAATACTGAAAGATGTAAGATCTTTGTCATTAAGACATGTATTGCTATTTCACACAACACTTGTAATACTTTGAACATTTTACTATAGAACTTAACATACATTTTGTGAAACCGGCCCTTTCTCTGGTAGGATTGGTTAGGGTTTCTTGAAACTGTTACAAGTAACCCATACCTAATAGTAAACAGTACTACACACTTCATCTGCTGAACTTTAAAAATTAAATGATGATAATTTTCAGTTGCTGAGAAAGCTTGTGTACATTAATACTTTTAAAAAAAGGCAAATGTTATTCATATTAATGCTACCCTAGCGTCTACCACCCCTCTGCCTATCTCCTATAAGAACACTTTTTTAACACTAGTCAGTTATTATTCTCAGCACCCAAACAAAAGAATGTGCATACCGGTATTCAATTTTTACAATTCAATACAGATCTTGCCAATTTACATTTGTAGATAAAAATATGTGGACGTGAAACATTAAACATGATTTGTTTACACGTAAGTGTTGGAAAATGTTAATGATATTATGTACTGCATGTACATCAATGTACAGGGTGGGTAAAACAATACAAAATTACCTTTTATCATTCATGTACATACATGTAGAAAAACCACGTAAAAATAGTTCTCTCCCTTATCCCTCACCCATTTTCTCATCATCTCCCCTCTTAGATCTTCTCATCAACCCCAAGGGGGTAATATCGCCCACTTTGGGAAACACTGATACAGATTATATGAAATATCTCTAGGCACATTATCAAATTGATGATTGAACACAGCTGCAGTTTGACTATAGTTAATAAACATCCAATTTCATGAAGACAAGCTCAAAGAACTGAGAAAACAACAAATAACTTTGAAAACGCTTTAGAATAAACAGATTTTGTAAAAAGGAACACCCTATGTGTAAAAAGAAGCATATCCAAGCCTTTGTGAAGTGTTAGATGACCTATAAACCTTTTGTCTACAGCTACTGGTATGTTCGTGAATCCATGTGGCAGATGGCTGTCAAAGAAACCAAAGGGCAAACAAAAACAAATATCTGCATAAGTTTTGTACAAGAATAAAGAAAATGTATTTTATGTAATGTATTTAATGATGATAAAATGTGTTTAATACCCAATAGACAATGCCACCAAATTTTGTGTTTCCAAGATCTTAATTGAACCTCATTCTGTTAATTATATTTTAAAATTCTTGATGTTTATCACTTTATAGAGATACAACTTCAGTTTATTTTCAAACCCTTTATTCGGTAATGTCATACTGTGTGTTTGCCAATGCAAAAAAAAAGAAATATTGTGTTTTCCATTAACCATAGAGATGATATAATATGAGCAATGAATATATCGACTAGAGTGTTATAAAGTGTTGAATGACCTTTACCTTCTTTACCAGTGTATGTTTAATAGACCATGTGTGTACATAGTGTCTACGGCCCCCTGGGTTATGAAATATTATACCAGTACCATTTATACAGTTGTAGTATAATTTACATGTTACCTTTATCACCATATAAAACTCATCCCAGATATATATCATCTAAACAGATAATCTACCACATACTAAAGTAGATCATTAATATGCTAAAAAAAAAAAAGTTAATATCATGTACAAGCTCCTGTTTCATAAAGCACAGCTAAGACTTGTGTATATTAATTAAAAATTTGCCGTACCCTTTTCCTGTTTCCTAATTAAAAATTTGCTAACCACAACAAAGTTGGAGCCATGGCGACTCAAGTGAGGAAGACACTTGCTTGGCTACCAGAAAGTCCCGGGTTTGTATTGATACCCATGTTTTCCAAGAAAATGTTCAAAGAGTTTCCAGTCTGGTTTCCCCTTGTCAGTCATACAGGACAGAGGGCCTGGCCATGAACCAAGGTCCTGTGTATTAATTAGCTTGCTCATAAATGAATCTGTGGCAACTTGAATTCGATCTAGAGTAGGTGGAAATGTCACTGTCCAGACAAAGTTTCCCTCATACTCAAAGCAAACTGCATGTCGTATGCCTGTCTTCATTGGCATATCTGGTACATGAAAGTAGAACGTTACATCCCATTTCATTTCATACCTAAGTTGTTATTAATATTTTTAGTCCAATCCCTTTTTGAAACCCTCACTTATCAAATGAGTTAAAGTAACTTAGTCTCTAACTCAATATTATCCAAAGTCTTAAACATTGAAAACACAAATTATTTGTCAATTTAAATCAACATTGATGTTGTGAACTTACCGGGATAAAATGGGCTTCTGATATCAAATATTTAAGACAAAATAAACATTTTACCATTGGTACACGAATCGTGTACGATAATGCATTTCAGTGCCATGTGTAACGAGGCTAGACATATTCCACAAGGCATGTCGAGCAGTGCCGCCATTTCTTATCTGGAGAGCATGAGCAATAAATAATATCGTGTAGAACTGGAATAACCAGGCGCTAGAGATTTCCATTCGATTGAGACTTCTGGCGTATTTCGATTAGAAATTACAGTAAAATTAGAAACGATTGAATGTAAATCAGTTTATATACATTCATATAGCATTATTATATGCCTTGCGCCCATTTGTGTCATTTTCTAGGTCCCAAATATTAGCAATTTAGCTCCTTTAAGTAGCATGTAACATTTTGGCATGCATTTATATCGAAAATGTTCCTTTCTGTTTTTTTCTTTATACACAATATTTAACATCAACACAATCCAGTTACAGTTTATTATTGCTTTAGTTTTTGTAAACTTTTAAAAATGTCATCATATTTACATTGGAAACTGTCTTATGATATTGTCTGTATTCATGTGTTGAACAAGCTTTTTATTTAGAATAGAAATAATGTAACATGTGTAGAACATGTGTAACAATTGTTTCTGAAGAACATAGTTAAATATGCTGTGTGTGCATGTACATAATAATGATGTAATATTTTACCAGT